TTTTAAATTATTTTAATTATATTAGAAAATGAAGTATAAGTAGTAAGAAGTGTGCTTTAAGTGAGTCATAGAGAAGAACTATCTAATTTTAAATATTATGAAATATTATAACAAATAAAATATTATATTTTAGATAGCTTAACATAATTACAAACTTTGGCCATCGTTAATTTTAGTAAATAATTGCAATTTATTTAATATACAATTTTTTAAATAAACACAATAATATAGTCAGATGGTGTATTGGCAACCTTCTCAAAAAAACTGATATATTTTCAGTTAGGGTATTTAAGGGACAACACTATAAAATGTCAGATTAATTTTTGCAGCGCACTCACTCTTTTACATACATATCTTTCACGTACATATATATAAAGGACAAGGCCTGATCCCGCTACTGGTGGTATTGCGCTTAGACTGCAATATTTTGAAGGCCTCCCCCCAAAATTAAGCCTGTACACATAGACATAAAGATCCAAACACATACACGTACTGGCACACGCAGACGCACTGCTTTAGAAAGGAGCTTGTATCTTGTATTTTTGAATTTTTGAATTTGCTCGCCTTTTGTGGAATTTGGATTAGTGTCGTTTGACTTTTTCGAGATACAAATGTTGCATGAAAAGATAATCGGCTTGGCTGTGTTACCATCAACATGGACATGCTGTGGTCCGAACGGCGCCTGCGTTTGAGTTGCCACATTCTAACAGCTTTTGAATACTGCTTTGGGGTTTTGTGGCTGTGGCTGGGCCCTTTTTGGTGCTCGTGTCTGTCCCGCAGACCCAAATTAGATTTTGTTGTTGTCTTCCACTTGGGTGCGATTCCTGTGTGTGTGTGTATGTGTGTGCGACATGTGGCATGGTAATACCACCTTGTTAAACACATGCAAGCATGTTTGGAATTGCACTTAGAGTTTGTAATTTGTGAATTGAAATGGTTAAGAGTAAAACTTTGTGCAGATTTTATAAGCAAATTATAATGTCAGCCCCTGGCAGGAAATATGTAGCAATGAAATAGCCATAACCGACGGAATGTGGTAAGTTATTTAGACCCATTTCCCCGTCAGCAGCAATACAAGTTGCTTGGTTTGTATAATTGGATTTTGTTTTATTGCACTTTAATTAACAATTAAGCAGAAATTGAATTAGCGAGCATTTTATTTTCATTTTATTAGCACTTTTTATTTGCCATTCGCTTTATTTTTTTGCTCAAATTTAATTAAATGTGATTTTGCATTTAAATAATTTGTAAGTCATACCGCCATCTGACATTTCCCCTTTCATTCAAGGGGCGACAACCGTCTTAGTCATGGCAACGTAGCAGAAATATTTTGTAATTGCCCCGCTATAAAGAGTTGGGTGTTGGTGCGAGAGAGAGATTGACCAATGATTTAGTACAGCCAGTACAGCACAGCTGTTAAGTGGGCCGAACCACGAACATACATACATGTATAGATCCATACATATATACAGAGTCAAGCACACGTTCTGCCCACTTGTGTTGGCCTAATTGGCTGGCCAAGTGAAGGATGTGCGGTTGTTGGTCAAAAACGAGTGCTGGCTGCAGTCGAAGCATTGCCTTTATTGCAGTGCAGCTGAAAAGCGGATGCAGGCGGAAACGAGCTTTAAGTAAGTGAAGCATAAATATTTCTAACTTAAGCACCTGGATTCAATTCTTTTCACTTTCTTTAAAAAGTTTTGCTGACTTTGATAATTTTGTGGGTCACCCACTAGCGAAAGGATAATATCTATTCAGCTGACGTGCGAGTGAATCAATGTCAAAGCGCACGTGTTGCTTACTCATTCAAAAACACACACACATACACGCCTACACACATACATATACACGTGATATGCATTAAAACTACAACAGCAAAGGCGGAAACGGAAATGTACAAGCGTGTTTGAGCTGAAAGCCATAATTTTACATTAGCAGTAGCAGCAGCAGCAGCAGCAAACGCAAGAACAAACTGAGAGCTGCTTTTATGGTTGCGCCACATTTCATTGAAATGGTCCGCGAACGTGATAGAAATTTACATATAACAAGCAGAAAAAAAATAAAATTTAAAAATGTTCTTACGTGTAAGCCGTTTTCTCTAACACTAAGCCCAAAGCATTACGAAATTGCCATACTGTACGATACTGAAATCTTTTTCCATTTGTCCATATATTAAAACAAAATATAACCTTAAGGTTTTTGGGTACTAAAATGATCTTGTCGATATATGAGCTTATCTGCCTATTAATATGTGCTGTCGAAGATCTTAGCTGATGGCCAAAGCAATTAGAGGTGACTTGTGATTTTTTATTTTTCTAAATATAATTTCTTCTAAAGCTTAACTTAAAAATATTTGAAATTGATACTGAGCTTTATGCTTATAATATAAGCTAGCTTCTATCAAAAATTGATCTGTTTGCAATTTGTTATGCAAGTGGATTTTGATTCAATCAGAGTATGCTAACTTCGACCGTGCTAAAAATCATTTTCTATCATTTGTTTTAAGCATTTCCGTAGCTATGCGATTTGATAAAATTGTACACATAGCGCATGAGTTGTCAAGTGTTGTAACTGATGACTGACGATGATTGAAGGAGAATCCGAGAAGTGTGAAATCTGAGTTCGGTGCGCGTATAATTGGAAATTCTTGTCCAGCTTCTGTTTTCGTATCCCCGGCTCAGCCTTGGCGCTGTTTCTATATAATTAGTTTTGCACTAACTGGGGCGTAAGAAAAAAAAACAAAAAACAAGAAACATACACACAAAAACACAGACACTGCGCTCCGGATCGAAGCATTTGCCTGGACGAAAATCATTAAAAATATTTGCCTGCACGCGCTGAGCCTCGTCATCCAATCAACCACCCCATCAAAAAAAAAAAGCAGAAAAGAACACCCCAATTTGGGGCACGAAAAATTGTTGCTTACTTGGCAAAGATGTTTATCACAGAGCCGGTTGAACACCAAAAGCTGGCCAAAATGGTAGTCGGGTGTGGGCCAGCTATTGACTGTGACTGCTACTGCTGCTGCTGCTGCTGCTGCTGCTGGGGTAACTTTCGGCGTCGCTGCGGTTCCCAGTGTAAATATTTTGGCATTTGCGCTCGCGTTTTGGGCTTTCTTTCGGATTAGTTTCGTTTATTTCAACATTTGTGCGCCGCACTAAACGCATCCTGTGCCAGTTTCAGCTCCCAGCCATCTCACTGTCTCCTGGCTGTTGGCCATTTTTTGTGTGGCCGACTGCTGCGGCATACGAATTTAATCAGGCCGCTGGGGACTCTAAAGCGGCGAAGCACGCCCCACCAAAAAAAAAAAAAAAACAAAGAAGAAAAGCATAGTTGTATACGTACTTGTAACACACAAATTTCCTTAAGCGAAATGCTGAAAATGTGGCCCAAGATGATGACTATGACGATGTCGATGACTAGCTTCCATGCGCACCCCACTAATCCCCCCTTTGACAGACCGCGTTTGCCTTGGTTGGCCACTGTTGGATTTATTTTGGAGCTATTCGTGTTGTGTGTTGTTTTGCTTTTTCTTTTTCTTTATTTTTATTTTTTTTTGTTACTACACATTATACAAGTGTGTGAAGTAGTAATTTAAGTGCGGGGCGTTGACACGCCCACCAGCGGCATTTGGGGTGCATTAAATGCCGCCTTCAATTCTGGCCTCGGGGGCGTTTGTGCTTCCCATTGATTTTTGGCATTCTTTTAAGCACATTTCTTTCCACGGAAATCATTTTGGTTTCATTTCGATTTCAAAGAATTTCTGCAACATTGAGTGACATTCACTTCAATGGATATGGATACTGTCTGCAGTCCTTACACAGTCGGAAGCAGGCAAAGCTCACAGCACGACATGCCCCCTGCCACTTTTCGTGTCTCACAAGCAACTAAATGGCAGCCTTTCGATAAATACAAACTTATTGCTTTTCAGCTGGTCACAGGTGAAGCTCACAGCGGTCAAGTTCTTTAAAGAAGTTTCCTACATATTTAACCTAAGGCAATTGGATATATGTACATACATTAGATTAATTGCCCCAACGCATATGAAAATTGAATTCATTTTTCCAAGATGAGAACCAGGAGTTTCTTTACGAAACAGTTGGCAAACTCATTCAACGAGTTAATTATGTAGAGTTCGATTGTCATTGTTAGATTTACACAAACATCTAAAATCGTATTTAAATATATAATTATAATAATAGTAAATAGTAAATGAATAAAAGAGCTACATAATGAATTTCAGTACTTCATTTGCAATCATTGTGAAACTTTCAGCATCGATAAAAATAAGTGTTTATTAGCGAAACTCTGGAGGAAAATTAAATATTCATAAACAACATAATCTGTGTAGAGAATGCGGGTACATGGGAAATGGATTGTTATTAACTTGTTAAGCATGTTTTTACATTCCTTTAGACACATCCAATGAAAAACCATAGAAAACTGAATATGCTTTATTTAATATATTAACAGGTGTGAAAATTTATCGATTTCATGATGACTTCAAACTCCAAAATTGTTTTTCTTCTGAACTGAAATTAACATATAAATCGCAAAATGCTATCTGGAAAATGTAGCTTTTGTGTGCAATCTAAATATATCAATTTGAATAGCTTGTTAGCCACATAATTTATTTATAAGCCGTTAGTTTGAATTATAATTTTAGAAGCCGCAATTTCCTCGCTTCATGCATCCTGTCGGCGACTTTAATCCTGCAGCGAGCAAAGCAGGAGGCTGACGATGTGCTTGTGTTTGTGCTCATATATTTTTAGAATACTTTTTAGTAGGCAGACATACAACCTGAACTGGCACCTGTCTAGCTGAGTGTCTGTTGGCCGCGTGTTGGCTGTCAAATCGATAACAATTCACATTCCTTAACATATCCTGTTTGATTGATCTAATTTAATGTCAAGATTGATGGTGCAATCTCGGAATTTGTCTAGATGTTTGCTATATGCTAAGAGGTTATATGAATATGTATACATAACTGTATTGCAACTTACATGTACAAATTGAGCAGCTGCAGCAACAGTTGCCGTTGACGCAAGCGTCACGGCCATCAACAGCAATGCAACTCCAATTGCCGTTGCAATGTTTAACAGCACTTCAAACTTGTTACTTGCCAAACTTGCCACAAAAAATTGTACTTGTATGATTTTTTAAATCTCTGTTTACCGTTATATGTGGTACACAACGCGACACTATATTGTACGTCTGCTGACTGCCGTGCAACGCGACTGTGCAGCCCAACGGATGTTTGTGGACTGTGCCTCAACCTGGCCGTAACACGGCCTATTAACCAGCTACATTTTGGCTGGAGCAACTGTTGGTCGTGCGCTTATCGTAAACGATATAGCGCGCTCGGCAGCTGCACGGCCATGACCACGAATCGGCCGTATCCTTCTTCGTGCTACTGCTGCGGCACGGTCTTCGTGTGTTCAACACACCGCACCAGCAACAGCTTTGACGTGTGTGTTTGTGCTCGTGTCGCTGTCGGCAGCTGTTTAACTATTTTTTGGTTGGTTTTTAGTTTTTCATGCGCTTGCATCTCAATGACAAATTGTTGCATCTGCAAGGAACGATCTGGCACCGTGTTACGACTGTACGAGAGAGTTTGTTTATGTGAGAGAGGGTGGGTGGATGGGTGTGTGTGTGTTTGTTTGCGAGTGTGAGCAAGTACGTCAGGGACGCTTATATGCAAGATACAATCAATATTTTGTTTACAGTTGCAATTTCAGTTTGTTTATTTTTTCGTCTCAAAATTGTTTTGATTTTGATTTTTTTGGACCTTTTACTTTTTGCGAACAATTCTCACTCACGAAATGTAATTTAAGTCTTGCAGATGGAAATTCGAGAATGCATTGATTTTTTAATTATTTCGATTTGATTATTATTATTGAGATGTCTTCGAAATATTTATTTTTCTTTCGCACAGTCACCCGCACTGAAATACATATGTATATAATTCATAGAAACGGCTTACAAAGCATTTAAATTTATTGCACAATAACAAGAACAGCCACTGATAGCAAAAAGTTTAATGGGAAATGTAAATGTAACGCCATTGTATGACATACGACAATAAAATGAAATGAGACAATAGAATAAAACGAAGTCGATGCCTATGCCGATACCAATGGCGAAGTCGTTGCCGGCGTTGCTGTTAGGCCAGGACCAGGCCAAGCCAGATTCCTGTACAGGTTGTTGGCTTCTGCAGTGCCGTAAGGCTTCACATTACCTGCAATACCCTAACTGAGGATATTTGAAGTTTTTGTTAAGGCGTCAACTCCACGAAATATTTGTTTGTAGATCATTTTGATTGTATTTACAAATTGAGTATTTGATAAATGTTTTTTTTTTACAGTATATTTACAGACATCGCTTATAGACTATTACAAATTGAAGACAGTTTGTTGTACTAAGATAAACTTTACTATTATAAATAACAGATCAGTTTGATATATCTGAACGTATATAAAACAACCGTAAAGGTATTTCATTTTCGTTATACCAAGAAAAATAAGTGTCTTTTTTTGTTTTTATTTGCTGTTATTTTTCTGCGGCCGTAGCCATATTTTACAGTAACAGCGGCAACAAAAACAACAACGTGCGAGATACATAAATACGAAGCTGAAAATGAAAGAGTCTAACAATGTGGCACGGCTGCTGTTTGCACAGCATCCATCCATGGTTATATGCCCATGCCCATGCCCATGCCCCTGCCCATGCCCCTGCCCCTGCCTATGCCTATGCTCATGGCCCGGCCTGCCACCCTTTCTATTTCAGTTACCGTTGCCGAAGTCGACGTAGACGTTGCGTTATGCAGTCAGAGAGTCAGATATTTCATTACGTCTCGCTCGATATGTCAGGCTTCACCCACCTACAGGATTGTGTATGTGTGTGTGCCATAATTCAATTTCAGCAGCAACGTTGCCCTAGTGTCTGTTTGCATATACTCGCACATAAGGGATTGATATGTATACAAGTGTTCCCCATACGGCCTTATGTGTGTTATGCGTGTGGCTGAAAAGTTTAACGACGCATCAACAAATATGGCCGGCCCGGCACTAAGGCTATTGTCATTTTTATCGCCATTTTTATCATATGAACAGAATGACGCTAAAAATATATCCCTGCTCGCTTAGCAGATATTTTTTTTATTTTTTTGTATCACAACATTTGTAAAAACTAAACGACACACAAAATTTCAATGATGGATGTGCTTTGATGTATAGCTTGCCAATATTTTAGTGACTTCCCTATGTCGGAGATGGTGTTCATTACTTGTTTTCGTTATCAGCTTTCTGATAGCTTTATTTGAATTAATAACACAAAGCTAGTTCCGGAAACGTTATAAGGTTTATTTGTATTAGATATTGAGGCTAAAAGCGAACGATTAGCCTTTTTCACAAGACTTTGTTTGGTTTATGTGAAGGTTTGAAGCCAATTGCTAAACATCTTCTTAACAAGGCTTACACTTAACTTGGTGTGAATATGCAATTACGAGTAACAATAAGCTATTTATATTAAGCCACGCAGGGCTATAAAATTCAAACATGTAAATAATTCATTGTCAATTAAAATTTCTTTGTTGCTGCTGCAAACATTACTATTAAAAGTTTCCATTAGTTACACATTACGATGTTATTATATAAATGGGATAAAACTTATGTAGATACGATAAAGGTTACCAAATTCCCAACTACATATTTTATAATATCAGTTTGGTGTTTATTGTCAGTCAATTTACGTTTATTATTTTAAGTTTTTTTAGTAGAGATGTATCATTTAAGTTTTTGATAGTCTGTAATTGAATCATAAATACTTTGCCACTAAGCATTTTAGGTGAGTGAGATCGTTAATCTCACTTTACCCACTCCTGATCCTAAGCGCACTTGAAATTGCTCTATAAATCGATTAGCGTTGTGCATGGCAACCGCTTTCCAATTGCCATGTGCTCCGTGTGTAATTTCCAAAGCAATTAACCTGCGTGTTGCTGCCACATGCCCTCAAGTTGCATTCAACATCCTTCATGCACATCCTTCTCAACAAGCGCCTGTTGCTTCGCTGTGTGCTGTTCTGTGCTATGTTCTGTCTGCCGACTGCTGACTGCTGTGCTTGATTGTGTATATTTGTGTTTGAGAGTGTGATTTGGCAACGCACTGAATGGCCACTAAATGAAGTAAACTAATTTCGAAATTCAATCAACGAATTTGCCTTGCAACCAAGCCAAGCCAATGCCATTTTGTCCTGCCTATTATTTGTCGCACTTGTTGATAATTGGATTTTGTTTGTTTGACACTTGAGCACTTTTCCTCAGCCAAGCCCTTCATTGATATTTAAATGGCCAAATTGTCTGCTCGTCCGGTGGCTGCATTGATATTGATATTTATTGTGTATACGTCATGTTGAGCCACACTCATTGCCTGGCTTGTTAATGCTAATGAGACGCTTATGTTGGCTGAAAGAGGCGTCATTTTGTTTCAGATTTCAATTGAGTTTCAGTTAAATAGTCGTTAGGCTCGTTACATGTACATATATCGCCAAACATTCTTCATCAATAACATGCTCAAGTCACTTAAATGGCAATCAACGTCGGTATACGGACAAAAAAGGAAATAAATGTATATATATATTTATATACATGTGCAATTTTTTCCTTTTTAAGCGAGATATAATAAAAGAGTTCGCTCTCTGTGCACAAATCGAATAAAAATCGACGCGATGCTTTTTATGTGCTTTTATATTCTTCTTTTAATTGACTTTGACGTTGCCCGTGTTGGATTAAGTGGCTCGTTTTTAATTTAAAAAATACTAAAAGAAATAGGAAACTGGAACTGTCATTTACACGCCAGTGGCGGTAACAATTGAAATTGAATGCCAATTTTATTGGCATGCAACTAGTTGGTCTGTCAGTGCAGTGCACAGATATAATATTTCAACAGGACTGCGACTGCACAAGAAATTGTTCCACACTTTCGGCGATTTCAATATTTTTTTGTGCTTTACAACTTTTACTTTTTACAGCTGTTGCCAGTGAGGATGGCACGTGCTGGCTGACATCAAAAGCCAAAGCAAAGTGAATCGTGAGAGGCATGCATCATTGCGCATCAACAGTAAGTTCTCGTTGTCGTTGTCGCCGTTGTCATGATGAAAATATAATTAAAGTTTATGACAGTTATCTTCAACCAACAATGAATGACACTAGAAGCTGTCCGTTTGTGTGCGTGCGTGATTAATGGCAGCGAACTGGGCCAAAAGCATGCCAGCAGCCGCCATCTCAAGCTGGCCCCACAGCAAATGGTCAGCTGTATAGATTGGAGCAGTACGTATCGACTTACAAATCTTGAATTCCAATGGTTAGGATATTATATTAAAAGCTCTGAAAAATACGTGCAACTAGAAATGACACTCAACTATATTGCTTTACTTAAGCAATATGTTGTCCAGGTTCCTTCCATTTCACAGGCATTTCTGCGACCTGTGGCAGGACTCCATTAAACAATCTACTGCAAATTAAAGTCCTCAGCATGTAATTGGTACTGACAACAATCAACAGATACGCGCTGACTGCAGCACTAGCAACATTTTCCATTAATTGCCTGCCATAAATGCAGGGAAGGGATTATACGACTGTCGAGATTGCGGTTGAGCAAACGCGCTCAGGTGTTTGACTTGTCATATGGACTGTGGCAGCTGAAGCTGAGTTGAGCGTGCAGCTTATAAGTGTGACATGCGTTTGTTCATTCCACATGCTCGTTGCGTATTCTTGTTGCCTGGACAGTCTCAAGCTGCCGCCAGAGATCTGGTTGCAGCGCCAAATAATCCCCCTATTTTCGGTCACTTTAAAACGTGAATGACCAGAAAATGTGGCAGTAGAACTTGGTCTCTCAGAAGGCAAACTGCAACGAGATTTTGAGAATCTCGAAAATTATAATTAAATAACTAAGTTACTTTACGAATAGTGCATGACTTAAAGATAGTTATTAAAGTTTAATTAATTTAATTTAAAAAAAATGTATATAAGTCAGTTTCATAATTGAAACCAAACAACAATTTCATAAAAATTCTATGAAGTGTAACATCATGTACAGCCTTATCTGCAACAGTCTTGGTCAAGTTGCACAAAATAATTTTATTAAAGCCGACGGCCAAAATAAACTCGAGCATATACTGCGTATACGCAATAAGCGTGTCTG